AAACGGCCCGTCGAAAATTTTTCTGGTCCTGGACCCGTGTCAACGAGTTTGACCAGGCCGGGTCCGACTGGGTCAACTGGCCGAGCGGCCCTTGGTCATGTCTACGCGGCCGTGCCCTCATTCAAGGATCAAGGTCAGGTTAAATAAATAAAAAAAAAAAAGTTAAATATGCCAAGTTGCCAACATGCTAGAGATATTTATTTAGGTTGCTACCTATTAGCTAGGATGTAAATGAATTATCTGTATATTCTAATAGGGTAACAAGCTAGAGCTATTTGGATTGGACATTAAATAAATGATAATACTTTAATAGGCAAACTTTCTAAATTTTATTATGTTTTTTTTAAAATAAAAATTTATTATTATTATTATTATTACTTATTTACTAACATATTATATTAAAATACTTAGCAAGTTTTTTTTTTTTTTTTTTTGGTACAAGAAATACTTAGCAAGTTAATTAGCATCAACAAGATCTGTACCTTTATTATGTGTGTACACTGTACAGGGACAAAGGCGTCCAAACTGTATCAACACTCGGTGGCAACTCGGAGTTTGTCCACGTTGACATCAACGATTTCACATCCTTACAAGCAGCAATGGCTGGTGATTAGCTAATTAATATAATGATATTTTTATTTTAATCACATTAATTAATATATTTTAGTCAATTTCATTTATTATTATTATTATTACTTAATTAATAATGTGGGGTCAATACATATGCAGATTCAGACCTTGTTGTTCATGCAGCTGGTCCTTATGAATATGCTGACACCAAAGTCTTGGAGGCTGCTATCGAGTCAAAGGTCACAAAAAAAAATAAAATAAATAAAATAAAATAATTCAAATTTATTTAGAATAAAAAGTATTGGAGCCATTTTTTTTTTATATAATTTGTTTGATATGTAAACCACAGACAACATATGTAGACATATCCGACCATGAAGGTTACTCACGACGTGCAAAATCGTACATGAACAAGGCAATAGCCGCCGGAGTTCCGGCCATCACAAATGCCGGAGCAAATCCCGGCGTTAGCAACTGTAAACTTCATTAATTAATTACATTCTACTCCTTTTTTTTGTTTCTTTTTATATACTTTTAACTATTTACCGGTTATTAACATTTTTTTTACAGTGATGGCCGCAACCCTTATACACGACGCACAAACCGAAAACCGAGGCCAACCCCAGAAGTTGAGGTATATATGTTCGTCAAACCACTAAATATTTTTGGCTCCACCCTATATATACA